GCCGTCGGCGGCATGGACTCGCGAGCCATGGAGCGACATAGCTTCAGATCAATTGCCCACATGTGTCGTATACTCGTAGCTAGCCCTCGCAACGAGCAATTCACACACACACACACACACCGGCGGCCCGGTGAGCAATTGAACACACACGCATGCGGCCAGCGTAGGCGCCTCACGTAAACCAAAAGAAGACATAAACTTCATGGCACCCACCACGTTCAAGGTCCGGCCTGCGCCTCGCCTCGCGCAGAAACAGCGCTACGTCACTTTTCTCCGTCATGCTATTGTTGCTCGTATGCCACGCTAACGTCTGCTCGCTGGACGGCGACGTCACGGCGCTCGTGGACTTTTGGCTCGCCGCTGACCGCTCCGTCGCGCTCGTGAGCTGGAACCTGTCCGTCAGCTCGTCCCCGTGCAGCGGGGAAACAACAGCGGGGCATGGGATGACCCAAGCCTGGGGCGCGCGACGCAGCTGGTGCTCGAGGGGCTCGGCCTGTCCGGCGCGGACGTGCTCTACCGCTCGCCGCGTCGCTCCTCCAGCCGCGTCGCCCCCATCTGCTTTGCCACGCGGGACGTGCAGGCCGCCCCTCCGTTTCTGTGGTGATGCTCGCGAAGGAGCCTTGGGCGCGAGACGGCGCCCTCCGCCTCCACCTGAACACACATCTGAAAGGATTGGGACAACCTATTCAGTGAGAGTAAAGGTATATCCCGGCCAGGATCATCTATTTCCTGGTATGCCAAACGGATCCAGGGTCTAGATCGACCGGGGACGACGAGTAGAGGGTATCCATTTCAGGTATTTAGACGTGGCGTTTATTTACATCACACTCTACAACCTTACAGCATCTTCAACAGGCACGCTAAACACGCGTCGCGCCCTAAATATACCCACTTTAGCGCGCGCAACCCGGCGGAGGGCTCCAGCGGGCGCGCAATAACCGCGCGCGCGGTATTAGTTGGGCACGCGGCAGGAAGCGGTACCTCGCGCGGTGTATTTGCGGCGCCCGCTTCCGCGCGCGGCACACTCGACGCTCGCGCTGCGCTCTTCTTCTCCCCCTCCAAAGCCCCGCGCGCGCCGGCGCCGGCGACCCGCACCCATGGACGCACGCGCCGGCACCCCGCTCACC